ACTCTTGAATCCCAGGCATCAGCCTGGGAATCCAGCATGGGACTGATCAAGACCCCCTGAATCTGGGTGTCAGTGAGGAGGCCTAGGGAATCTATTGAGCCTTGGGCAGCAGATCAGTACCCATCCCGAGTATACACACGGACTTTGGACTCCCATCCAACAATGTGAGGTGCACTCTCACCCTGAACTTTTGGGGAAGGGTCTAGGCCCTGCCCTATATGAAATGACAGACTATGGACACCACCATGGAGGGCCTCACCCTCCCTGGGGAAATGAGGGGATAATGGGGGGGTTAGGGGAGGGCACGGGAGGAGGGGAGGAAAAGGGAGAGGGACCTGGAACTGACTTGTGAAGCAACCTTGTTTCTTATCTAAATTTAAACTGAAAAATAAATAAAAAAAAACACAACAATGATGAAAAGAGAAGAAATCCAACTGCCAGAAAAATCACTCAGAACATGACCTGCTCAGCAATATCATCAGTCACCTGATCCAGAAGCTGGCTGGAGGCTAGTGCAGTCAACAGCCATGGGGAACACATTTTTCTCAAGCTCATGTGGAACATTCACCACGACAGACCACGTTCTGGACCCCAAATCACACCTTTACAATTATAAAACTTAGAAGCCACGGAGTGTCTGCTCTCACAACATAGTTGACTTAAGCCAGAAATAACGGAAAGATAGCTGGAAGATTTGACAACGTTTGAATATCAGAGAACATTTTTCTTTTTTTTTTTTAAGTCAGGGTCTTACTTTATAGTTCAGACTGGCTTCGTGGAACTTGCTAAGTAGACCAGACTGGACTCAAACTCAACATGTAGATTAAGAAATGGATCCAAGAACAAATCACAGGAATTGTGGAAATTTTTAATTACATAAAAGTACAAGATTTGGGGATGTAAGCCGGGCGTTGGTGGTGTACGCCTTTAGTCCCAGCACTCGGGAGGCAGAGGCAGGTGGATCTCTGAGAGTTTGAGGCCAGCCTGGTCTACAAGAGCTAGTTCTAGGACAACCTTCAAAGCAATACAGAGAAACCCTGTCTTGAAAAAGAAAAAAAAACAAAAAACAACAAAAAAAGATTTGGGGCTGGAGAGATAGCTCAGGGATTGAAAGTACTAGCTACTCTTCCGGAGGACCCAGGTTCAATTCCCGCACCCACATGGCAGCTTACAACTGTCTATAATTCCAGTTCCAGGGGATATGACACCTTTATACCAATGCACATAAAATAAATTTAAATAAATTATAAGCGCTAGGGGGTTGAACCTAGGAACTTGCACTTGCTAAGAAGCTACCACTGAGCTACATGCTTTTTTTTTTTTTTTTTTTTTTTTTTTTTGGTTTTTTGAGACAGGGTTTCTTTGTGGCTTTGGAGGCTGTCCTGGAACTCACTTGGTAGACCAGGCTGGTCTCGAACTCACAGTGATCCACCTGCCTCTGCCTCCCGAGTGCTGGGATTAAAGGCGTGCGCCACCAACGCCGGGCTCGAGCTACATGCTTAACCTGAGAAAAACTTTTAAGCCAGAATAGGTTAGCCTCACCCAAGGCTCTCAACCTTTTGGGTATGGCATGTCACAGACAAGGCAGGCTTACCCACCCACGGGATGAGGACTCCGAGACTGTGGTCTCTTTCGGAAGTCAGGAGAGGGCTGAGGTGCCAGCTGCTCCCAAGTCTGGTAACCAGGTGCAGGATATAGCATACTCTCAGAGCTCTCAACCTGGGCTGATCTCCAGGGGCAGGGTATAGTGTTCCACAAGAGTTCTCTGCTTTCAGCCTAGAAACATGCACAAGAGTTCTCTTCCTCCAGACCAAGAAAACCCATCTCAGCCTGGCTTTTTTCAAGTGGTTTAACTTCTTGTTTTCTCCCATTTCTCAAGAAGCTCCTGAGGCCCCAAAGCCACCATCTGATGCTCTACAGAGTCAAGGAGGCAGGGAGGTTGTCTCAGCATCCTCCAGTTGCTCCTGATACTCTTGCCTCTGCTCCCAGTCTGTTTCCTTTGAGACAGTCCACATATGTGACAATCGGTGGGATGACTTGATGTTACACTTCCCTTCAGGCTGAAGATAGACATCGTGCCTGTCTGTGTCTGTGACACATTGCTGCTGTGGGCCCAGTGTGGGGTCAAGGATCTCAGAAATTTATTTGTGAAATATTCAAGAGGAGAGCAGAGAGAGGGAGAGAGAGAGAGAGAGAGAGAGAGAGAGAGAGAGAGAGAGAGAGGAGAGGGAGGGAGAGAGAGACAGAGAGAGAGAGAGAGAGGGAGAGGGAGAGGGAGAGGGAGGGAGAGAGAGACAGAGAGAGAGAGAGAAAGAAAGAAAACAGGGTGAGGGGATAGACACAGAAATGGAAGGAAAAAGAAGGAATAGAAAGGTCAAATGTTAACTAAAAGGAGGAGAGGAGAGTTGAAGCTCAGACTTGAGCACAATGAGGGAGGAATGGGGGAGAAAGGGAAGGGAAGGATGGAGACAAAGGCAGAAGAAAAGAGGGAACGAGAGGGACCAGCTGAGAGAAATGAGAGAGAAGTGTGTTTGTGTGTGAGAGAGAGACAGAGAGAGAGAGAGAGAGACAGAGAGAGAGAGAGAAGGGAAGAGAGGGAGGGAGGGAGGGAGACAGAGAGAACTGGAAAGCACAGGGAAGAAAATCTCACTGAGGTCTCAGTGCCCGCGTTGGGAAGGGGGAGGAAACTGGAGCTCTGGGATACAGGAGCGGTTTCCATGGAGATGAGGATGCACCAGGAGCAAGCAAAAACAGACTACAGTGAGGCCAGCCACTTTGGCACCTAGGGAGAGGAGGGCTGGGAGGCAACTGAAGGGATGGTATGTGTGTTTGTCCCCTGCCAGTTTCTAACCCCACTTGTGCCTTTCCTTGGAGTGTCTGAGCCCAGGGATGGAGAGGCAAATCAAGGGCATGTAGGAAGACAGACATTAAAGTCTCCTCCCCTTCTTCCTTCTCCTCTTTTCCTCCTCTTACTCCTCCTTCTCCCTCCATACCAACAATAGAGCACCCAGGGGCTTAGTCCCATGCCTACTTTTCGGCTTTGACAATGTCTAACAGCAGAATTCAAATGCCATGGGGGCCTGAAGCCTTCATGGTTAACCTCCAGCTCCCATTGCTCCCCCGCCCCCACCCCGGATCTACACTTAATTCTCTGTGTGCCAATCTGTATCTTCAGACTGTTTAATTCTCTAGCTCTCCTGGTTTGGTCCTGCTACAGAACAGGACATTTCTTTTATGTCCATAAAGGTGGGAGGTGGGGTTACTGTCTTGGAGACTGAAGGCAGCTCCAGTAGAATGAGAGATTGATGACCATGTTGTTGGGGGCATTACATCAGACATGGAGGATGGGTGTGGGATGTAATCCAAGTTACAGAACTCTGGGAAGGAGGAACCTGGGGCTTACGGGGCACTCCTTGTACTGGAGATAGGGGAAGGAGTGTCAAAGCTCGTGTCCCTCTCACATTGTGGGGACTGGATGGGCCACACATAGTGACAGAACCGAGAACAGCCAAACCTTGTCAACACTGTTATCTAACATCCAGGCTAATCTCTCGGGCCTGGAGGAATCAAGTGCCACACAGCTCAATCAGCTCTGTGCAAGCTGCAGACCACTGGTGGGACTCAGCAGACCAAGTCTTCACAGTTGCCCACTGAACCTGAAGCCTCTGATTGGCCTGCTCTGGGGCTTGTGTTGCTACCAAAGGAATGCAGTGAGATGATTGGCTCAGACTTGCCCCACCCCTCCCAGACTAGGCTGGTGTTGGGAGAGCTTGTAGATTAACCCAAGTGGGTGGTTTGGACAAGGTGGCTATTTAACAGGGCCGTCTTGACCCACCCATTCTGCTTTTATCTGTCTTGTCTCACCTGTGTAGTTATTTTTTGTTATGACCAGGCTTTTTGTTTTGTTTGTTTTTTGAGATGGTGTCATGTTGGCCAAACTGGCGTTGTAACTGTGCAGCTAACCATGACCCTGAATTATTTTATATTATTTATATGAGTGTTTTGCCTGCATGGATGTCTGTGCACCACATGTGTGCAGTTCCTACAGAGGTCAGAAGAGGGTGTCAGATCTCCTGGAATTGATGTAATTGACTGTTGTGAACTGCCAAGTCGGTGCTGGGAGCTGAACCTGGACCCTCTGCAAGAGCAGCCAGTGCTTGTTACGGCTAATTATGATATCAACAGCTAACATTATATGGGAGTTACTGTGCAGAGCACTTTGAAGGTCTCTGTCATCTTTGCCATCATTTGGTGATACTCTTGATCACCCCCACTTTACAGATTCGGAAACTGAAGCACAAAGATAAAGGAATTGAGGCTCACAGATCTTGTAGAGAGCTGAGTCAGCATTTGAGTTCTTAACACTGTACCGCAACCCTCTTCTCTCCAGTGCACGCTCCAAGAGACACAGATCCTAGTGCCTCCCTGATCTCTGCTCTAGTTCCCAGCACACAGTAGGCCCTCAACAATGAATGACCTAGCTGGCACCTTGCTAAATATCTCTAAAGCACCATGACTCCCATTCCACAGAAGGAGCTAGCTGGGTACCTCACACCTCCCACTCACAGCTGGAGGGGGAGAAACCATGGGAAACCTACTGTCAACCTTTGTGGTATGCAAAATGATTGTCAATGAACCACTGTTGAAGGGTTAACAAAAGAAAAACCAAACAAAAGCCAAACTCACAAAACTAAAGTGATGCGGTTGGGCAAGAATAAAAGCATCAGAGGACATCAAGGGGTGTGGCCTGGCTTTGGTATTTTCTTATTCCTCGAAGGCAGGTGAGGCAGGAGAGGTCGAGGGCCCCAGTTTCTGTGTCTTCAGTCAATGTCTGTCTCCCAATGATTGAAAAGAAGTTACCAAGTGTTCAGATTGCTAGATGGGGCTGGGGGAATTCTCAGGACTCAACCCCCCGCCCCACCTCCTCGATTCTAGGGAGTAATAATGCCTTCTCTTTCTTCCTGCCCTGACCTCGGTGTGGGCCCGCTCCTGATGCCCAGCCCTGTGCCTCGTCTTGGGCTGCATGATCTTCCCTGATGGCTGGGATGCCGAGACCATCCGGGACATGTGCGGGGCCAAGACGGGGAAGTACTCCCTGGGGGACTGTTCGGTGCGCTGGGCGTACATTCTGGCCATCATTGGAATCCTCAACGCGCTCATCCTGTCCTTCCTCGCCTTCGTGCTGGGCAACCGGCAGACTGACCTGCTGCAGGAGGAGCTCAAACAGGAGAACAAAGGTAAGCGCCTGGACCTGACGGCAAGGTAGGCCTGCTTGGTGGTGGGGCAGTCCAGCTGTAGACAAAGTTCTGAAAGTGAAGCAAAAATTACACCCAGGGAGCTGGAGAGATGGTGTGGCTGTTAAGAGCACTGGCTGCTCTTCCAGAGGACCTCGGCTGATTCCCACCCCCATGCGGCAACAATAACCGTCTTTAACTCCAGTTCCAGGGGATCCAGTGTCCCCTTCTGGCCCTCCTCTGGCACTGCACACATGGTGCACGTACATGCGTAAAAACACTAACACACTTTAAATAAATTTTTTTAAATGTACACAGAGGAGCCCCGTTAAGATGACTCAACAGGTAAAGGCACTGGCTACCAAGCTTAATGACCCGAGTTTGACTCCCAGGAGGAGAACCCACATGGGGGAAGGAGAATCTGGAAAATTCTTCTCCAGTTTACACTACAACACCCATCCGCTCGTCCTCACGCCACCATGAAAACAATTAGAGAACAGGGTCGGCAGTGCAAAGGTTGTAGGCGGCAGCCCATGCCCCGTGGCTGTGAAGTCAGGGGATAGAGGTGACGGAGAACGCTTGCGGAGAGTTCAGAAGAGACTGAGCAGCGTGTTTAATTAAGCCCTAAACCAAGCAAAAACTAAGGAATGCACGGCTTAAACAAAATTTTAAATAATACAGGGGTGGTTATTGGAGTAGGTCTGAAGAGGAGGAATCTGGGCATGAGATCAGAGCTTGTAGTATATGCAAATGATCAACAGGTACAGCTTTGATAAAATGGTTCCCATTCACAAATGTATTACACCATGCTGCATAGCTGGTATATTACATATTGTCTATATCAATGACAGTAAAATACAACAAAGAAACAATTTAGGGCCATTGAGATGGATTGCAATTGGGGCCTTATAACCTAAGTTTGATGCCCAGAATGGGGTACTCTGACCTCCACACAAATGTAAATAATAAATTTCATTTAATTAAAAAAAGAAAAAGAAATGGGCTGGAGAGATGAGATGGCTCAGTGGTTAAGATGGTTCAGTGGACTGGGTGTTGGTGGTGCACACCTTTAATCCCAGCACTTGGGAGGCAGAGGCAGGCGGATCCCTGTGAGTTCAAGGCCAGCCTGGTCTACAGATCAAGTACCAGGACAACCTCCAAAGAAATACAGAGAAACCCTGTCTCAAAAAACAAACAACAAAAAAAGATGGCCTAGTGGTTGGCCATTCTTCCAAAGGACCCGGGTTAAGTTCCCAGCACTCACATGGCCACTCACAACTGTCTGTAGCTGCAGGGAACCCGGCATGCTCACACAGGCATACATGCAAGCAAAACTCGCCGGCATAATCTCTGTTCTCTTGAGGCTGGCGTATGAGGGTTATGAGTTTGAAGCCATCCTGAGCCACACACACTGTGCAAGCATCTTCTTGGGGTTTCCAGAAGTGAAATGTAGTGACAGTGCCAGATAATCAAGTGCTGGAGCCAAGCACTGTCCTCTGACCTAGTGTCAGCTCCCCTTAGTGCTAGAGAGACTTGATGGTGAATGTGTGTGTCCTTAGACTGAGATCCATAGTAGTAGTTCCCACAGTTGGACCTATGCTGAGGTTTCCCCACTCATTATAGTCTTTTCTTGGGGTTTTGGCTCACCATACAATGGGATTAAATGAGATAATGTGTGCAACCATGTACCAAGTCATCCTGCAGGATCCTCATTGTTGTGCTTGAAGTCTTGGGTGGTAAACTCAGATTATAGTGGAAGCAGGTTAAACCTAGAAATTACCTCGAGTTTCAGTTTCCCACACTTTGTATGTAGGGTGATAAGAACAGATCTAACTCCCAGGACTGTCACGGGATGGGAAGTGGCCAGCACTCTGCTCAAAGTCATCAGTTCTCACAGGCCTCTCACAGGCAGGCAGGCATTACCACCACTTTTTACACAAGCGAGTACAAGTCCCCCGTGGATGGGCGCAGAGAGCTTGCCCAAAGTCCTCCGAATGCGGCCACGACCTGAATGAAGGTCCAAGTCCAGAGCCAAAGCTCTTCCCCGAAGTCACACTACCTGTCTCCGGCCAGCCAGGCTAGGGCTTTCCTGTCCCCTCTTCATCACCTAAGACACTCTGCTAATCTGACCTTAAAAGCTCCTACAGATTCCCCTCACCCCCACCCGCGACTAGCTCTTGGTTTGAGGTCAGGACCTGCCCCCTGGTGGCAATTTCCAGAAATGCAAGACCAAGCCTCTCTGAAGCTACTGATGGATGTAACCAGCAGTGAATGCTCCCCTCAGTGTCTCTCTCCCGTCTCCATATGGCTCTCTCACAAATCCATTTACTTTAAAGACGTGGCCTTAAAGTGTAGCTAGAATACCCTAAAACTCGCTGTGGAGCCCAGGCTGTCCCCAAACCTGTGGCAAGCCACTACAACTCATCTTAAACATGCTATGGGCGACCAATCATGGTGGTATGCACCTGTAATCCTCATAATCTGGAGGCAGAGGCAGGAGAATCAGGAGATCAAGGCTAGCCTCTGCTCCCTTGTAAGTTCAAAGGCAGCCTGAGTTGTAAGAGACCCTGTCTTTAAAACAGCCCCCTCCCCTCCCTCCACAAGTGATAATGGGAAGCGATATGCTTCCTTCAGTCTCCATCCTTCACTGGTGGGTGAAGGTGGACTTCATAGTTCAGTTCTGAGCCAAAGTAAAAGCTAAACTAAGCCACCACCGTTTGCCATGTGCCAGGTGCTTGCACAGCATCTCTGGTGAACGTTCGGAGTGACCCTGTGAAGCAGGAGGCTGAACGTGCTCAAGGCTGGCCTGCCAACCAACAACTTGGTTGTAGTCATTCCCTGCCCACTACTGTCTTGGGGGGAGGGTGTCTTTGGGGGCAGCTGTGACCTGATAGTCTCTAACATTCTCTCTCCCTCCCTCTCTCCTTTAGATTTTGTGGGTACTACAGTAAGTTCTGTGTTGCGGCCAGGAGGAGATGTCTCCGGATGGGGAGTCCTGCCATGCCCTGTTGCTCATACACAGGGACCCTGAAAGTCAGAATTGTAGCTCAGGAGTTGGCCCGACCTCAGCATATTCTGTCTGCTGCCCTCTTCTTCCTGTGGTCAAGCTCCAGACCCCAATCTCTGACTGAAGGCACACCACTCCAGGCTTTGAAGAGAGCCTGGCAGAAGGCAGGGGCCCTTGAGATCCCTCGGGAGCCTGTGTCTGGCCCTGCCTCCATTTGACCTAAGGGAGCCTGGGTCTCCCTCTCTGGTCCTTCGGTTTCCTTCTCTCCTGTGTAGACCAGCTGGAGGTCCCCGAGGATCCCCAGGGGAAGGAGGCTCTGCAGTGCAGGCTCCTCAGACCCCTTCTGTCTGGACGGCTGCCTGCTGCATCCTTGCCTCCCCAGTCCTGGTCTCCTAAAGAGACTTATTCAAGACACTGCCCCAGGAGGGCCAGACTTTTTCCTACTTTATTTTTATTTGCTGATGATGGTCCCACCACATCTGCCACAAAGCTCCAGGTGCCACCAGCCCCACCCATGGGGCCTCTTCTGACTCCCTCATTCAAGCCTGCATCCAGCTCTCAAAGGAACCTGAGCGGTGCTGAGGGGGAAAGCACGGGGTCTCCCTCCCCACTGCGGGTAGCCCCTCCTCAGCTCAGAGTCTGAGGGGAAGACCCAGGCTCTGGAGGCTGGGGGAGGAGGGCAGCTGATCACAGCAGCTGGAGTTTGTCAGCTTCTCAGCCTGGGGCTGGCCTGGCCTCTTCTCTACGGGGCTAACTCACCAGTGACTGGACCCTTGACTCTGGCCTGTTTTGTACAGCATAGACTTCTCGGGCCCATTGTCATGGTTGGTGACTGGAGAGGGGGCTCAGAGGTGGAGTTAGGGGATGCCTATCTCCGTCTCACGCTTCCCACACCTCGGACATCTGCCAAGGGCAGAGACTGTCTTGCCCCCCTCTTTGATACTTTTCTGCCTAATTTGAACTTGCAGGTCACCTCTGAACAGGGTACCCCTGTCCCCACCCTAGGCCCTGTTACCCTGCCCCTGACTCTTTCTCCTTGCCCACTTCTCGCCTTGTGATACGATACGCCCAGGGTCTGCAACCTCATGGGCAGTGCTTGGAGCTGAGGCGTGTGTGTGTGTGTGTGTGTGTGTGTGTGTGTGTGTGTGTGTGTGTGTGTGTGTTACGACGGAGGGGCACATGAGAAGATCTCTCTTCTTCTCCCACTAAGGGGTTTCTCCGTCCCCCTTAGCAGAGAGAAAATGAGGGAGATCCCAGGTGTGTTTTTGACCATCCTTGGTTACCTTATAGATCTAGTGGCAGAGCCATCTAGTCGTGGACAAGCCTTCTGTCCCCAGTGGAGGGTGGCAGGCTAGCTTCATCTAACATAATGTCTCCTAGGACATGGCCTGCTGCCTGGTCCCTGTGTTGAGGAGTGTGTGTCCCCTTTAGGCTCCACAGGAGGCAGATCACTTCTGAGTGTCACGTGTGAGCCTCAGCCAGAGTTGGAAGGGCAACTAGTTCACAGATTTGCTGTCCTTGTGTTCATTTTCATAGGACTTGGAGCTGAGAGTTAGGATTCCTGAGCAAGACCCATGCCCAAGACTGTCCCATCAGGACCCTAACTGGAGTCTCATGCTGGGTCCAGGAAGGATTTCTGCAATTTTCCAGACCCCATCTCCACCTTCCCCTCTTTCCCCCAGGACAGATACCTCTGCCCAAGCTTTGGTCACTGCCCTGGTGACCCCACACTTGTCCCCACCTAGTCTATTTCTGGAGCCACAGCATTAGAGCTGTCTTGGGCAGGTGCCGGGAGACTGGGAATGTACGGGGGCAAAGGGGCAAAGGGGCGGGGGGAGGAATTGTGTGAAGGAGAAGGGAGCAGGAGGTAGTTCCTCAGATTCCCAGAGGAGAGGGGAGAGGGGCCGGGAGCCGGTGACTGATGGGGAACTAGGTGGGGGAGGGGGGCAGTGGGGGCGGGGTGGGGAAGCAGGAGCAGAGCCACAGAAGTAAAGACAGGAGGGACAGACGGACGGGCGGGAGTGTTGCAGAGAGGAAGAGAGCTCACGTGATGACGTGATGGAGAGAGAGGTGGAGAGGTGGAGTGGGTCTTCCACGGCGTAGGGGGCAGTGGGTGAAGAGGAACAGGAAGTGGGGAACGGAGGTGCCATTTGCAGTGAGCAAGAATGAAATGTAGAGCAGAGAGTGGGCAGGAGGACAGGGAGAAGAAATGCTGGGGGGGGCAGCCATGTGTGTGCTCAAGGAGTCTGTTCCCCTAAGACAGCTGCTGCCCAAGCGGACCCTGTGCTTTGGTGGACAGACTAGAATTGACTCCTCCGAGGCTCCACACAGCTCTGCTCCTTTGTGGAGAGAGAGAGAGAGAGAGAGAGAGAGAGAGAGAGAGAGAGAGAGAGAGAGAGAGAGAGAGAGAGAGAACTCATGTGTATGTGTGTGCACTCCAGTGTGTGTGTGTGTGTGTGTGTGCAGGCCAGGCTGTGTCAGCAGCAGGGTAAGACAGATGATGGGGAGGAAGGAAACCAATTCTTTTTGGGAGTAGTCTAACAGCGTTCCCATCCACTCTCCAGCCAACCAGCTACTGCCCAGCATTTTGAGGTACATCACGGAGTTTCAGGCTGGTGGGCTGGAATCTGCAGGAGCCCCAGAGTAGCATGGGGAAAGAAGAAGTAGTGGTAGAGACCAAACAGTGGTCCTGAAGATTTAGAAGAGGTAGGGACAGGGAGGACGGATGCTTCGTCCAAGAATGCAGGTGGGGCTCTGACAGATCTGCTTGCGGTTGTCGTGGTACAGTCAGGGCAGGTGAGCAGGTGTTAGCCTTTGGGAAGGGATAGGCTGTGAAGATCAATGTCTCTGTTTCTGATTACCAACCAAGAGTTTCCTGGCTTAGGTCCCTGAGAGTCCTCAGCCAGTTGTGACTGGAAGGGGGTGCTGGTGTTTCTTATTACTGACTTTCTTGCTCCTGGCAGAGAGTGGGGAAAGCAGCCATAACCTTGAGGTGGTTCAGTCTCTGGCCCAAAGCATTGGTTAGACCAGTCCTTGGGGCTGTGGAAAGTAGAGCTCTCCCTCAGGACCACAGCTGTGGAGGAAGGCCTTCCCAAGGGCGTGAGGATGTTGGGGAAGATGGACACCATTCTGGGACCTGCAAGAACCAAGATTATGGCTTGCAGCTGGAGCTCGGGGAAGGAGCCCAGGGCTTTTAAAGAGTCCCACGTGAGCACAGAGGGGACTAGCCCTTCTCAGCCTCTCCTGTGGAAAGGGGAAATCCTCTTTTCAGAGGGGCTGGGCTCCTTCTAGCACAAGAAGCTTCTGTGGGTTCTTGCCTGGCTCAGAGCTAGCTTTTGGGTGGGACTGGAGTTTTCCTGAGAAGTGAGCAGGAACAGCCAGCCCTCCTCAGGACTCCAACAGCCCTCCAAGGACCTGTGCTGTGTGGTAGGGTAGCTTGGTGTCGTCTACACCCCATTAGTAAGTTCTGTCTGAATGTGTCCTTGATGTTCATTGTCCAATTTGGTACCATTTCTTTTGGTCCTGACTCCTTCTGCTGCTGCTGGATTTGAGCTTCAGTGCAGGTGGAATGATGTTCAAATAAAGACACAGTTTATATCACCCATGCTGGCTGCTGCTCCTGAATCATGTCCCGGGCCTCACAGGTGGGATATAACCCAACCCTTTGTGTCAGTGACTGCACATTCACGGAGCCCTAATGCTCACTGTGACTTAGTGGCATTAAAAAAAAAGATGGGCCTGATGGTGTATGCCTATTATCTCAGCACTTGGAAGATTGAGGCAGGAGGACTGTAAAATCACAGCCACATCAGGCTTCATGGAGAGATCTAGTCTCAAGAAAGAAAAAAGTCTGGGTATTTCCGGAGTGTGACCCATGGTGCCAGTAGGAGCCCACGTTCTGTCTGCACTGTCACTTTCAGTCGTCACTTCCTTCCTCAAGAATCCCTCCTGGTGGTCAGGTTGAGGGTGAAGGGATGGCTCAGCAGCGACAAGCACAGGCTTCTCTTGTAGAGGACCTGGGTTCAATTGCCAGCATCCATGTGCATTTGCAACTCTTGTTCCAGGAGAGCTAATACCCTCTTCTGGTCTCCATGGGCACTGCATGCATGTGATGTCAGTACAAACATACACGGAGATAAAACACCCTTTCACATTAAATTAAAATAAAAAAATTAAAAGCCAGACATGGTGGCACAAGCCTTTTATCCCAGCACTTGGGAGGAAGAGGCAAGTGAATCTCTGTTGGTTTGGCACTAGCCTGGTCTACATAGCAAGTTCCATACCAACCAGGGCTGCATAGTGACAGCATGACCAAATACAGGAAGGAAGGAAGAAAGGGAGGGAGGGAGGGAGGGAGAGATAGAGGGAGGGAGGGAAGAAAGGAGGGAGAGAGAGGGGAGAATGAAAGAAAGGAAGAAAGAAAGAGAAAGGAAGAGAAATAGAGGAAGGGAGGGAGGAAAAGAGAGAAGAGGAAAGAAGGATTTTTTTAAAAAAAGGAAAACCCAACAAATTAAATACCTCCTGGTCCAAGGTGGCACTTCTGCTGCTCGAGTCATTTAGTCTATAAGCCTTTTGAAGCCGCCTGGAAATGCCACAGAACTGAGTCACCTGGCACATATGGAGAGGCAGGAAAAATTAATTGGGCATGTTGCCAACCCAAATAAAACCAGGGTTCTGTGACAAGGCAAAGGAGACAGTGGCTGTGGCAAACTCTGTTCACTCCTGGTAGCAAAGCCTTCATTCTGCACTCAGGACTCCAACTACAGCAACCAAGGCTCTAACCTGGTTGTGTGCTTATGGGGGCTTGGGGAAGTCAGATTATCTCCTTCTAGAAAAACCCTTAGACAGGAGGGGGGGGGAACAAAAGTCCACACTGAAGAGATGAAAATAACAATGTTAACGACGTTGCAGGAAGTGGTAAGGTGACCAGGGAATGTGTGTAAGCTGTTGAGCACAGTGGGTCACACATTCCTACAAGCACACCAAGACTCTAAGTGCACCTGGGTGTGGAGATGAACATACCAAAATAGGGCAGAATCTGCTAAATGCCAGGCATTTGTGGATGTTCTAGGGGAGGCACATTATGTGGCTCCTGGTGGATTGAGTGGATCAGGGTGAAGTTTTATCGTGTGGGAACAAGAGTCGGGCAGGCCACAGTGGGAAAGAAGGCAGCTTGAGAGACAGGTAGGTGGGCCTGTCTGAAAGCAGTGTTAGAAGGTTGAAGCATGGAGTGTGAGGTGTGGAGGGGTCAGATATGAACCCGGGGGGTTAACATGAGTCTGAAACAGCTCAGACTTAAGAGCAGTGGGAGATTGCTTAATTATTGGGGGCAGGTAGACCAGGATCTACCTGAGTATCCCTGACTGTTCTGAAACTCACTATGTGGACCAGGCTGACCTGGAACTCTGCCTCTGCTTCCCAAGTACAGAAATTAAAGGTGTGCACCACCACCCTTGGCAAGAATCGCTCGTTTTTGAGACAGGGTCCTGGTGTGTAGCCAGGGCTAGGTTGAACCTCAGCTCCTAAGTGCTGGGACCATAGGTGCAGGCCAATGTATTAGCTACTTTCCTATTGCTGTGATAACACAGTGGGATTAAAGCAATTTATAGAGGAAAGTGTATTTCAGGCTTATCGTTCCAGAGGGTAGGTTTTCAAGCTGGACATAGAACAGTATAGGAATGGCATTGATCTTTTGAAGCCATCAACACACCCCCTATATCTTCTCCAGTCACCACCTGGGAACCAAGTACTCAAATATGTAAGACTTATAGGGGACACCTCACTCAAGCCACCACAGCCACCATATCTGGTTCCCAGAAGTGTTTTAAACAGGGCTCACATTTCTGGGAGATTATTTTGGTTGTGGTGACCATGAATGGATCATAAGGAGATAGCTTGGGAGGCTGGAGAGATGGCTCAGTGGTTGTGAGAACTGGCTGCTCTTCCAGGGGACCCGGGTTCAATTCATGGTACACACACACAGTTGTTCACAACCAACCATCTGTAACTCCAGTTCCAGGGGTTAGGATGCCCTCTGCTGGCCTCCAAAAGCGTCAGGCACACACGCATGGTGCACAGATATACATGCAGGCAAAACACTCACACCCATAAAACAAAACAGTAAATTAAAAAGTAAACTAAAAAAATTTAAAATAAAAATGGGGGGGGTCAATAGTTAAGAACACTGCTCTTCACTGAGTTTAATTCCTAGCACCCACATGACAGCTTACAACTGTCTGTAGGGGTCTGATGACCTCACGCAGACATACACAAAGCACAAATGCACATAAAATAAAAGCAAATAGGTTTTTGAGAAAATAATTTGTTGGGGAAGTCCTGTGCATTTGTCAATAAAGCACAGTCTGGCTAATAGGGAATCTAGATAGGTGGGACTAGGAGTCCAGGACTCTGGGAAGGAGAAACACAAGAGACTCGAGATGTAACGCCATGGGGTAGGAAGCCCGGAAACTTCTCCGGTAAGAGACATACTTAGATTAACAATTATGGGGTAATTACTTAAGTCAGAGCTAGCCAGTAAGAAACAAGCAAGGCCAACAGCTTTATAATTAATATAGCCTCCTGTGTGTTTATTTGGGACTGATGCGGCACTAGAACCAGGCTGGCGGGAAGGCTTCTCTCAAAGAAAAAGCTTCTTTTTACAATAATAGGATAAAGTTTTTAAAAAGAAAACAGGTTTTGACTTGAGAGATGGCTCTGCGGGTAGAGCATGCAGCCAAGCCTGGGGGCCTGAGTTGGATCTCTAGGACCCACATAGTAGAATGAGAGAACCAACTCTCAAAAGTCGTCATGTGACCTCCATGTGTGCACTGTGGGCATCCCCAATAAGCAAAAAAGTAAATAAATAGTTTAAAAATATGATTTCTTTATTGAATCTTTGGGATTTCACCCTGATTTGGATGCACCCTAATTCCACTCGCCTCCCAGCTCCTCCATATGCTCCCATCACCCCGGTGGTGCCCCCCCCCCAGAGAAAATGTTTAAAAAATCAAACCAAACCAAAACAATCAAGCAAACAAAAACAAATTAAAAAAAAAAAACTTCTTTGATTCTCCATCTTTCCCACCGTTCCAACACCTCTCCTTTCACCATGGTGGCCTTGGGAGCCACAGTGTGTCACACGGTGTACCCTTTGTCCAGCCAGCTTTACTTGCAAATATTCATTGCAATGAGCCACTGGTCTGGTTCAAAGGCAGAATACTTCACAACAGGGGCCGCACTCATCTCTGCATTGCTCCAAGTGTAGTACATGTACTGTCAAAGCTAGCATGCAAAACACAGTTTAGAGAAGAGACAGCCTGGACAAGAGGGGGCTGGGGAGCTCCAGACTGAATTGAGGTCAGGGTGGCAGATCTGAGGAGGAGGACTGTCAATGCTCGGGACAGTTGAGGACACTTGGTAACTGGTTTGGGGATAAAAGATAAAGTGGCATTAAGGAAGACAGTGACCTTCAATGTGATCAGCTTGCATGTGGGAGGCCCTGGTGGGGCTTTCCTGAAAGATGTGGGTCATGGACAGCCGCACATGGGTCATGGCTGCAGTTAGAAGTCAAGATGGGCCTGCCCAGCGTGACTAACCGTGTGAAGAGAGCAGCCCCAGGGGAGGCCGGAAGGCGCCTGCTATAGAGGCCAGTCAGAGGAAGACACGGAAGCTTGCCAGCTCTTAAGAGGACTTCAGGGTGGTGCCGTGGAAGCCAAGGATCAAGTCCAGCGTTAAGTGGCTGGGAAAAAATGTGTCACCTTGGTTTGGGGATGAGGAGGTCACTGGTGAAGTTGGGAGGAGCATTGGGAAACAGCCAAAGTGAGGTTTGCTCTGAGAGAGCAGTTGGTGATGAAGAGGTTAATCTGTCCTTTGGTGGAAAGGGAGAATGAGGGGCTTGGGTTCCCTCAGGGTCTACTGAGTAGACCCATGACTGGTAGGTGTTGAGAACCTGCATGGTACCCGGAAGAGGCAATAGAGTCTCTAAATCCGTGCATATCTCCAAAGCTCACGGCTGTGGCCAAGGAGAGTGTGGGAGAGGATTGCAAAGCAGACCAGCTCTGTAGGGGTAGGAGTCATCCCAAAGTGCAGAGGTGGGGGTAGGAAGGTGTCACTTGGGGCTGTGGTTGGAGCTCTGGCATGATGGAGTTCATTTTCTCAGTGAACCGAGAGGCTGAGATGACATGGAAGCTTGGAGTGAATGCCGAAGAGGCTAAGCATGAAGACAAGGTCTGACAGGTGCCCGTGACTCTGCCACAGTCCCAGTAGGAGGGGAGGTTGAGAAGGGCATATGTCTGCCTTGGAATCTGGGGTGGGTGTTGCAAAAGGAGAGCCCAGAAGGCCTACGGGTGGGGGAAATGGAGGGACCAAAGAACTGACATTTTTGTGAAGCAAGAGGGGGACAGGAGATGGTGAGGACGGAACCTAGCCTTCCTCTGACTATTCCCAGGAAGACTTTGAGAGGAACCTGGGGACACTGTTCCTTTCCAGGGAAAGGTGGCGTAAGCTGGAGTAGAGGACAAGAGGACAAGGTTCCATACAGCAGTCCAACATCGTTGGGGCTGGTCAGAGAGTGAGATGGTGATGATGGCAGTGAAAAGCCCCAAAGCGGTGGTTCTCAGCCTTCCCAATGTGTGACCTCAGTACAGTTCCTCATGCTGTGGTGACCTTCCCAATGCCGTGACCTCAGTACAGTCCCTCATGCTGTGGTGACCTTCCCAATGCTGTGACTTCAGTACAGTTCCTCATGCTGTGGTGACCCTCAACCATACAATTACTATTATTACTATTATTATTATTGGTTTTTTCGAGACAGGGTTTCTTTGTATTGTTTTGGAGGCTGTCCTGGAACTTGCGCTGTAGACCAGGCTGGCCTCGAACTCACAGAGATCCACCTGCCTCTGTCTCCCGAGTGCTGGGATTAAAGGCATGTGCCACCAACGTCTGGCCCATACAATTATTTTTGTTGCTACTTCATAACTGTCATTTTGCTACTGTTATGAATTGTAATGTAAATATCTGTGCCTTCCCATGGTCTTACTCGACCCACAGGTTGAGAACCACTGGTCTAGAAGCTATAGTAAAAGACCCAGACCCTCTGGAGGAGGTGATTTTAATCTTGGGGACAAGATGCAGTTGTCTGGAAAATTTTAGTGAGAACATTGACACAACAAGATGAAGGGAACAAGAAGTTATTTAGACAGCCTGCAAGGATGAGGTGGTGTATGCCTGCTATCTCATCTCTACCTCCAAGGGATGTAGAAACAGGAGAGTCATGAGTTCAGGGTCATGCTTGGCTAGTGAGAAGGAAGCCAGCCTCAGCTGCATGAGACCCAGTAACACAAATAATAAAAACCCAGAGACAGATATTTGGGTTCAAACTGAATATCAGAAAAGCAAAGCAGCCAGCCACTAGCTCTTACCTCTACATCAGATTGAAATGTCAATCCTGTCTCCATGACTCCTCAGAGTACAATGCAGACTGCATTGCTCTCCACCAGGCCTCAGGCTGCACTCCCCTGAGCTCCTGTCTCCTCCCACCTTATATTCCTCTCTCCACCCAGCCATATCACTCCTGTCTCCACCTCCCTAGTGCTTGGATTAAAGGTCTG